CATCAGCTGATCAGTTTCGCGCCATCTTCGAGAAAGTAAACAGGAAGCAGCCTCTCGCGCTCCTCGGGATACTTAATGAACAAGACCTCACTCTTTAAAGTTGGAAATAAAAAAGGAACTAGAAATATCGACGATGGACGCACAAATGCTCAAGAATCTTGCTCATAAATTAGGATTAACGTCGCCAAAAGTTGTGAGGTGAGGATGTTATTTTGCTGTTATGTACCAACGATTTGTGGTGTACTTTTAACGATGCGTGTTATCCATAAATGGTGGTTTGGCGACTTGCTATTTAGGATCTGATGGAAGGGAGGGAGAGACATATGGGTTAGAAGTAGAAAAATAGATTAAATGAGTAAGAGAAAAGAAAAAGAAAAAACGTACATCAGCTGCTGGTTACACGTCATGGATTCTTTGCAAAATGGAGCTTGTAGACGTTCCTATGTATCCTGCCTTGGTTACGTAAGCATTCCAAGCACTATCTTGTCAGGCTACATGTGGTTAAGGTTTGGTGCTAATGCTGTGTTCGGAACTCCTTCTCTTGCTTGTCCAGACAATTTGTCAGGACCAGAAGGACAAGGAGGCCCAGACTGTAGAGTTTGGTCTGTGCAAAAATTATTTGGTCACATTTTGTCCACGCAAATGTAGATTTTGGCTAACTTTACGTGCACATCATCTGTCCGCAGATCTGTCTGCGCAAATGTAGACAAAATGATGTTTTCTGTGCTTGAAAAAATTTGATATTCCCAGAGCAAGAAAATTACTCTACAGTCTGGAATGAGGCCACATTTGAAACCCTCCAAGGCTTTCATTACCCATAATGCAACCAGTTTGATGGTAAACATTCACTAATTTATTATATCAGTGTCTTTATCGCACACAATACTAGTCTGAGCTAGGCAGGGCCACTAGAGGCTAACAGAAGGAAAGAGAAGAGGATTACTCCCATGGAAAGAATTTCTGACTAAATTTCCATATTTGATAATTACACAGTGGTAATTTCAATGATTATGTTCTAAATATTGTCTCGTCCTATATCCATCTTATCTCATATATTGATATTTACCTTTAAGGAAAGCAGAGGAACTGATACGGCTCTTGCAGTGCAGGGAGGTACCGGCCTGGCACTTAGCATGTCAGGGAAGGCGGTCATTTGCCTGGAAATTGCTGCAACTCTTGCTTCTTGCTCTTTTGATAAGGTGACTAGGAGAGATTGCTCTTATTTTTTAAGGTTTTGTCCTAAAAAAAGCATCATGTAGGAATATGTCGTGCTGGAAAGTTATGTATCTAGAATAATTGTAAATAGATTCACTTGTCTTAATGATGATGAAGTGTTTAGTTTTTATGCTATGATACAAGTTCTGTTTCTTTTTAATAAGGTGTGAACATTTTTAAAACCTATTTGCCATTATCATTGTTATACTTTCAGACCCTTGCTGTGCGACTCTCAGGACTGACAAGACCTCAGTATGTAGCATCTAGTCAGACAGTGTCCGCCTGTTGAATGTCTCCTCAAGTGTGTGTGTGGCTGACCTCTGTGTCACCCACTCAGCGACTGCAGCAAGGGATCTGGCAGCAAAAGTGCTCAAGCAGTAAGTGGTCTTATCCTGCAGTAGATTTTATTTTATTTTTTTTTTTTAGACCAGCAAGAGTTCCTAGTGTAGCAACTAGTGATATATACTGTTTTTATGTTGAATTTGTTCTTAGGTTTTCTGTTGATGTAATGTACTATTATCATGTTATTTTTTATTTGTTTCTTATTTTTTCCTTCTCTTTTTCACCATTTGTTACCCACTAATGAAATGTTTCCACTTTTTTCTCTAGGTATGAAACAGAAAACAAGATAAAGGGGCAGGTAGACATAGCTTTACCAGTGTACCAGACAGCTGCTGTTATTGCTGCATGCAAGTAAGTTTGCTATAAAAATCTAGATTTGGTGATTGGTTTCTTTTTAAAATGATTAATCATTGTGAAGGTCTTTTCTTGTTAATTCTTTTTGAAAGCCAGTGTGCCTATTTCTCAAAATAAAGCAAAGTAATATTCCATGAGAATTATCAGTGTACTAGAGAAATATAACAATTTTGATTGGGTATAACCAACAATCGTGATACAATAGTCCCAATAAGAGGGGAGGGCATGAAGTATATTAGGGAAATTGTAAAGCAAAAAGAAAGAAATTGCAAATACACCTAAAAAAATTAAAAACTTATCCCAACTTTCCAACCAAGCCCACCACCACTGAAAGCCTTCTGGCTATAGTATCAAAGTTAAAAAAAGTCTATAGGCACCCAACCATCCTTTGGTAAAATCTTCTGGAATACACATAACCATAAGCCCCACCTAACCTCCTATCCAATAGGCTCTACCACCTGGATCCCATACTTTCTCTCCAATATTTCACAACCATATTTCTTGTTCAGGGTGCTTTGTAAATCCTTGTACAAGTAAATGTTAAAATACAGTTTAAAGATCTATTGTTCTTAAAAGAATATCCGAAACA